AGTTTGCCGCCTCATCCAGCCGCTACCCTCATATTTCTGAAAACTTTTATCCCTCTTCTCACCCTAAGGTACGCACTCAACTTTTCGATTTGGAAATTGTACGAAGTTTCTCTTTGATGTTGCTCATGGTGTATTCACTGATTGTTGAAAAGTATGATTATATGTATAAAAAATAAAAAATCTCGAATTCATTCCATTTTTTGCCTCTTTGATTTGTGGCTTTAAGTCAATTTTGAGTTATGTAATCCATTTGTGGCTGAATTGGTTTACTAGACATTAAGAGTAGCTATAGAACATTCTCCCTCCTTATTATGTTATATATGTAATACTTTTTAATTTTATTTTTGAATTGATTTTTGAGGTTTTATTTTCCATTTACTGGTTAATTGGTTGTTTCATTATAAGGAAAATAAAACAATGTAAGTGTTTTATTCAGTATGGACTTAAAGATAAGCTATAATGGTTGTTTTTCTTATATAATAATGTTGCGTTATAGATAACATTATGAATAACGAATATGTTATGTGTATAATTTCACATTTCAGTGCGCAAAACAGACAGGCAGCTTGGAGTGTGGATTTTATGTAATGAAATGTATGATGTGATCAGAAGTATCAATGAAGGCCAAGATCTGGAGCAGGTATATTAAAATGCGTACTAATGACATATGTTAATTTCTTTAATCGAAATTATTTTGTAATATGTTATTCCTTCACAAAAATGGTGATTTTATTTGTTGTCTTTTTTTGAATAATCCAAATTTATTTCAAAAACAAACTATAGTTATTTATTAATTTATTTCGTTCTTTCTCTGAGGGGATATCTTCACGGAGGCCATCTTTCATGTTTACAGCTTCCTCATGGTTTTTCTCAATTTTAATTGGTATCCTCCAACTTAGCTTCTTCAGTTTCTCTCTTTTCTTTCTCTTCCTTCTCTCTTTGCAATTGTTCCTTTTCTTCGGCCTTTTCTATCTGTTTCTTGTGCTCTTGATAAAAGGAAATAAACTAATGTTGGTACTCAGTAGAAACTGTGAATAGTCTGGTGCCAGTATGATCAATGGACCTCACTTGACACCAAACGGTGCTACATATATTGAGTGGCTTATTATATATTTTGACATACACAGACAGAGCTTTACCCCTCAACTGCTCAACTATTTCTTTAAGTATCTTCTCCTCTTTTGTTAGTTTCACCAATTCTGCTTCCTCCTTCAAAATTTCCAGTTTTGCGTTGTCAACTTCGGACTTCCTTATAATAACACCTTTCTGATACGGATTATATTGTGATTCTTTTCTTTAACCTATCTCTAGCCTCCTTGCCAGCCTCCCAGCACATATTTGGGCACTTTGTTTTGCCATCATACTCATCATTCCCATCACAACAATCTGCTCATGTGTCACTTGAAATGTCAAAAGTGAGTTCTTAGTTAAGTCTCAGCTCTGAGGCTTGAGGTATGAACTATGAACTACATCACTAAGGTCGGTTGAGATTACATTACTTCAATAGTTAGCATGAGACCATGAGAGTACACCATAGTAATTAATAATCATAATATCATTTTTTTTTTCAATTTTGCAAGTGCTTTAAGAAAAACTATTCTGAGTTGCCCTTCATTTGAAGCAACTGACCGGGAATGGTTAATTGTACCAGAGAATACCAATATGTTAAACGGGTGACAATTTATTTGGAGATACATGTTAGGAATGAAAACTGCTTAAAAGCAGCAAATGATGAAACATGTATTTAATTAGTAAACATCAAATTAAAGAGATTATATTATAAATGTGAAAATGTTATTTTTATCAAAATATATTACAATTTGTGGTTGTACTAATTACAGTTGGTAAATATTTGTAGGTGTACGGAAGCACCTTAAGAGATGAGGCATTTTCAATGGTAGAAATTGATGAGGTCCGGGACAGATGGGCGATATATGTTTGTGATAATTTGTTGTAACACTATAATGTGTGAAGGAATGTATTAACAATATATTTTTGTTGTATTGAATGTGGACCATATTTTTGGATTGTTAGTTTAGTTACAATTCAGGTTTTATGTGAAGGTTTCTGTTTGCTGAATCTCTAAAATTGTCAATTTAGAAAAGTATTGTGAAAATAGGTGCAATTTTATTTTGAATTTAACACTTATTGCTGCGGTTAAGATAGGAAATAAAAAAAAAATTTGTAAATGTATTTGCTGCGGTCATAGAGGAACCGCAACAATTAGTGTATTCCAAAAAAAATAACGCCTCTTATTTGCTACGGTTGTAACCACAGCAAATAGCAATTTCGCTTTTTTGCTGCTCCGGCTATTGCTGCAGTTCAAAACCGCAGCAAATACGTCAAAATAACCGCATCAATTAATGATTTTTCCAGTAGTGTCTACTCCTCCAAATCTTCTTTACAACTCAAAGCTTTTTCAAACTCAGATTGGGCAAGCGGCATTGATACATGAAAATCCATAACAGGTTACTGCATGTTTCTAGGAGACTCTCTCATCTCTTGGAAATCAAATAAACAACATACTATTTCAATAAGCTCAACTGAAGCTGAATACTGTGCTCTAGCCAGCACTGCTGTAGAAGTTCTTAGCTTATTATAGCTTTTTAAAGAACTTAGACTCCCAGTGACTAAAGCTACCATATTTTGTGATAGTAAATCAGCTTTAGCACTTGCTGCTAATCATGTTCATCATGAAAGAACCAAACACGTGGAGATAGACTTCCATTTTATACGGGAATGGATTCAGAATGGCATTAGATTGCTGACTTGTTCACAAAACCTGACTTGTTCACAAAACCTCTAGAACGAACTATGTTTCATTCTTTTCTATCCAAGATGAGTGTACAAAATCTGTACTCTTATCTTGAGGGAGGGGAGGGGGGGGTCCACGTACAACAACATGAAACAATAAACACGTGGCAAGTGAACAAGACCAAGCTCGAGTCCAAACTGATGCATGCACACGTAAAGCACAAGAAGAAAAAAGAAGACACTAGATCCTACTAGACTCTTCTAGAACAAGTAGTTAGTTAGAAGTTTGTTATGATCCAACTACTATTTATAATCTTCTTGTACAGTTTGTTTACTTAGAATAGTCGACTATCATTTTTCATCAATGAAGCAATGCTTTCTTCTCTATTCTCTTTGTACGAGTATACTTCTGCATCAATGAATCAAATTGATCTCATCAAATTAAACAGAAATTCAAGCTCAATACATGAAAATCGTGAATTTCAATTTCCGTTTAATCAACACATTTTACATTTGTTGATAGGCATGAATATAAAATTTTCTTGCTTTGTAACCTTTATGGCGAAAGACTTATCCAACACATCTGACACGCCTATCAAAATTTTACTGAGCTTGAATTTCCGTTTAATTAACATGTTTCACATTTGTTGATAGGTATGGATATAAAATTTCCCTGCTTTGTAACCTTTCTGCTCACTTTATGGCGAAGACTTATCCAACACATTCAGACATTTCATTAATTTCTTTTTTCAATATTTATGATGTAAACCACTTGGTTAAAAAATCAATTATTTCTGATAATTTAGGTTTACCTTTGATGGATCGACGACCTAAGGGTAGCCGGAATCCGAGAAATAGGAGAGACTGTAAAGTGCTAAGTAAGATCAAGTACCAATTTGGGCAAAGTAACATCAAGTTTGCATAGAGAACTTCGGATCCCTTTCCACAAGCTGGAATGTGATATTTATACTAAAGGAGAAATACTTAGCCAATAAGTAAAAAAATATTATTCTATTGTGGTGGTGACACATGGCACACCCGCCTAACATAATAGATGTACTAGTCTAATAATATGGTGACACGTGTAATAATGATTGGAAAGATACTTTGGACAACTTGTTGATTGGTACTGTGTGTAACAGAGTTGTACCAGAACACACGTGTGTGCTATCCAAAATATTCTTCATTCTAACTGTCGGAGTGACGTGGCCTTCGCACAACGCTGGTGATGTGGCGGTAGCTTGCGCGATATTTGATTGCTGAAATGTCTAAGTACACATTTGGTTAGTGAGGCCCTGAGCTCCATGAGCTCAGAGCTCGAGTATGGCGAGCTCGTTCAAGAGGATTTTGTTTTGGTCTTTATTTTGTTCGGTGGTGATCATATGTTTACATTCATTGACTTCTGTTGACGTGTGCATGTTGTTCGAGGTCAAATCTGGTACCGACCTCTGTGTGCTCGAGGTCTGCCTCAGATTTGGCCTTATTTTGGTGATCTGGGAGCCCGATGTTGTACCGACCTCGGGGGATCGAGGTCAGCCTCGCCGTGGTTCCATACTTTGTTGATCTGTGGACTTGTGTTGTTACCCGATCTCATTGTCAAGGTTGGCCTCGGCTGAAACTTCGTACTAAATAATGATATAACTGAAGTCCTTGTCCGTTGGTCATGATACCCCTGAGGTATATGGGAATATACTCCATCAACCTTATTTCAAATTTTTTTAATCTTGTATTTCGGGAAGGAATGCCTTCTCTAGTGGAGTTTTGGTTTTGTTCACCTCACCTATGTATTTTGTTTTTATTACCTAATAAAACATCAGCAAATGTTTCCCGACATTTGCCCCACTGATGCTGGTTTGCCTTCCGGGTTACGAAAAAATGGAAATTCAAGCTCATGCTACGTTAGGTATGCTGTAAAAAAGGAATTTAATACTAGCTCATTTAGAGAGGAATCAAGAATCCAATATTCGTCGCAAGAATACTATATTTAATTAGAAAACACTTCGTGAATAGACTTATGAGATAACATCCTTTGAAAAATTCCAATCTTCCGCAAATATTTCATGACTTAAGTAATTTGCCCAAATTAGAGTTGAACATTCAAGAGCGTCATCACAACACCTGGCCACTCATGCAAATATAAATTGTAACTAATCCAGATTTCATAATTCAACGAATTCAGCTAATCAATTTCAGTAGATTTAACAAATTTCAGTGTTACCAAATATAAATGGGGCAAAAAAAATGCTCACCAAGTGATATTTATTCATCTTTTAAAACCTGGAATCATTGTTTCTTTTTCAAGGAAAATAATTGTTTTTTGATTTAATACAGTATAAGAACTTTTAGAAATGATATTAACACGAAATATATGCGACTGTAGTCTTTATTCTTAACACATATAGTTGACTTTTGAAATAATTCTGCAAGGTAGCTTGAAACAAACAGAAAGATACCATTTAGGACAAGGTTTCACTTGCCGGGTACAAAGTTGGTGGCATAGGCCCACGCATTATTAGCAACTGGGTCAGCAACGTGGTCGAAAAGATTTTCTATTGGGCCCTTACCAGTAACAATGGCCTGCACAAAGAACCCAAACATTGAGAACATCGCCAACCGCCCATTCTTGATTTCTTTCACTTTCAGCTCTGCGAATGCCTCCGGGTCATCGGCCAGGCCCAGTGGGTCAAACGATCCACCGGGGTACACCTTGTCCAGGCCCTCTCCAAGTGGGCCGCCTCCAACCCTGTATCCTTCCACTAAGCCCATAAGCACCACCTGGACGCCCAAGATAGCAAGAATGCTCTGGGCATGGATAAGGTTCGGGTTGCCCAAGTAGTCCAGTCCACCTTCGGAGAAAATTTGGGCTCCGGCCTTGAACCATACCGCCTCACCGAATTTGAGGCCGTTCTTTGATAGAATCTCCGGGAAGATGCAGCCCAGAGCGCCGAGCATGGCCCAACGGCAGTGGATCACCTCCAGCTCACGGTTGCGGGCAAAGGTCTCCGGGTCGGCCGAGAGCCCAGCCGTGTCCCAAACATAGTCGCCGGGGAACTCGCCGGTGAGGTACGAAGGAGTTTGTTCGGAGAATGGGCCCAAGTACTTTGGACGGTCCGGCCCATACCTGTCAACTTGACAAAAAATTTAAGTCCGAATTTGACTCTGGACTCCAAATTTTAACCTTTTATAGGTGATATTTGATTTTGCCAAAATCATTAAAAGTATGTATCTCATTTCAGTGTAAAGTTATTTGATTTTGCACTTTCTTACTTCATAATTTTTGGATTGATAGGATTCCTTATTTCATAATTTTTGGACTGATTGAATGGAAATATGAATGATTTAAAATAAATAAAAAATAAATAAAACGGTCCAATTATTCCAAATGTATTCATTAAAATAAATACTCGTAATACGGAGTAATAAAATTCATATGTCTAATGGAATAATGGATAATGATGCAATGAATAAAAAATAACTAAAAGTATTACAAATTACATATTCCCACATCCCAAATTATTTGTATTGTGAGCTAATATGAGCCGATTTACCTGATACATTAATACTTTGTATAACCGATTGAATTGGAACGAAACTATAAATTGCATAGAAACCCAATTAGACCAAAGTTTTTTTTTTTTTTGAAAATTGGACCAAAGTTTTGACTAGCTGAAAATCTAAAATGAATGGTAACGAAACTTTTACCCAGATTTTTAAATATGTATTTAACCAAGACAAGACTCCGTAAATTTGATTAATCATAAATTTTTGTAGCAACTCAGTAAAGACAGCAACTTAACTCGCTTTATAGATTTGATCGAGGGGTTTAGAATTTACCAAATGCTTTGGGGAGCAGTTTTGACGGTACGTCTCATGGTGAAACGGGCCGGGCCGAAGCTGCCAATCTTGCGGAGGAACTCATTCCGGGGCCTCAGCCCACTCTCTCCGGCGAATGCTGATTGTTGAAACCCACAACTGGCCATTGATCTAAACAGACTAGCTGCTGAAAGTGTGTATTACAAATGGGTGGCTACAAATATAAATGGATTTTAGGGCAGCTTGTGGATTACATTATTTACACCTAAGCAGAAGGTGATTGGTTGATTCGCTTCATATGGATAATTTTCGTCCGGTGTGTATAATTGTTTGAAGACCCGACTCGTAAATTGAGGTCCACATTTGTGTACAAAATTAAAAAAAAATCTTAATCTAAATACCATATTCAAATCAAATCAATTGAATACACAATTAATCACTCATATTTGAGTAAAGGAGGAGTAAAGGACAAACGAAAAAAATGATATTATTGTATTTTTTTTCTTACTAATTGTATTTTACTACATCCGCCCTCCTAAGTTTGGGACGAGAGAAAGTGACACGGTTATTAATAAATGTGAGTATATATGGTTGATATTAAATTGATAAAGTAAGAATAAAGTAAGAATGAATTAAAACCACACAAACTTTACCAAATAAGGTATGAGACAATCTTAGTGGGACGGACCGAAATGGTAAAACGAGACAATCATAGCGGGACGGAGGGTGTATTAAATAGTGTTAATATATAATATTACTATATAATACTAATAATTTTTAAAAAAATTAGGGGCCCTATTATGCAGAACCTATTGAACCTCTTAAAAGTTGGCTCTATGTATGTGATTGCATTTGTCCCTGCATGTGGGCCCCTACGTGCTAAACCGTATACTCTCTTCATCCCTTAAAACTTTTTTTTGAACAAAAGTGGCTTAAATTATGATAACAGAATGTAAGCAGATTACAAAATGATAACAAGCTTTCTGTTTATCGTCTGCCCTAGAACCAGACTTAGAATCAATCACCTCTGTATAAGCAATTTGATTCGTTGATCCCGCTATGGGCTTAACTGAGCCAATGACAGGCAAACCAGACTCCTCATCACACTTTCTAGGTTCTAGAGTTTGTTTGCCCGAAAACATGGTACAACCAAAACAAAGTAAAGATCCAAATAGAAACGAAACATGAAGAAAACTAAATAAGCAAATTCTTGAACCCTGGCACCTAGTTCAGCCCTTGGCGGTGGTTCAGGAGGAGGTCGGACCATCGCTATGATTGTTGACGCACCAAAGCGGTTTTCCACCGACTCGACTGCCTCTTCTTCATGATCATCGATCACCGGTTTGTCCGGTGCTCCACCGATGTCTAGGCCAACATACTTCTAGATCAGTTTATCCACCGAGCCCTTCCCCTCTCTGGGCGCCTCTCCTCCTTCCTTCCGCGGCTCCCACGGAGTTTTCTCCATTGGCCACCACAGTGAGATATCGATACAAGTCTATTGCTTGCGAGTGATTTCCTTTCTCTGCTAAAAAACGGTCGCCGCACCAAAGACAGAAAAACTCGAAACCCGATGTCCGCTTTGGGTGGATTTATTTGTCAAAGACTTTTTGTGTGCACTCAGCCACTCAATTCATCCCTTAAAACTTTGTCAACTTTCATTTTTGTGTTATACCACTAACTTTGCAACTTTCCCTTGTAAGTACAGAATTTGAGGTTCAAGTTATTTCCCTCTTCCTTGCGCAAACCTCAACCACACAGTTTTACTTTATCAATCTCCGTGCTGGTCAAACTTGGTCTAGTTTTAAGGGACGAAGAAAGTACAAAATTTATGGCTTATGTAGCCGAGTTTTTCTTCAAAATAATGTCAAATAAAAAGGTATTTACGAAATTAGAGTCGATTAAAAAGTTACCACACGAGTTTGGAGTAAACTCTAAAATGATTATGAATTTCCGTTTAATCTATACCTACTCTTTAATACATAGTACATAACAAATGAAGTTTGAAAACGGGGTTTTAAATCTCAAAATGATCTTTCCAATGAGATATATAACGTCTGAAGTGGAAGAACATATAGCAAGATATGATCAAATCAAATACTCAATCAGTTTTCTGTAATGTAGCATTTTCAGAGTAAAAAGAGCATATTTAGCGTAAGTAGGGTCTCCGACTCGAAATTATGTGCAGAAGGTACTAATGTCGTAATATTTTGAAAACGAAGCTTGAATATGAATTATAAAACTCCAAAAGAGCTTTTTAACGAGATGTGAACACCTCAAGCGCAAAACAACATAGAGATGTGACCATGTCAATGCTACACCTGTTCATCATCAACGCGACCACTTTTTCTAAATTTCTGAATAGTACATACTTATCCACTAATATTTTTAAATCAAATCTAAATTAGAGTCTTATAACTCAATTTCAAAAATGTTGTTGGAATGAACCCTAGCTAAAAATATGGTGAGAACTATTAGTTACTACAATGATATGTCATATTAACTTAAGTATAAAAACTGAACATAAGTTACTATAATTTCATTACTACTACAGTCACTAGTTACATTTTATAAAGAAGCTATATTTTAGTCATAAATACTCCCTCCATCCCATTGGACTCTGTCAACTTTTCCTTTTTGGTTGTCCCAAAAAACTTTGCCACTTTCCTATTAAAGCAACTAATTTGTGGTGCTGCACATTTCTCTCTCTTCTACACAAATTTCAACCACACAATTTTTACTATTCTTATTTCTCACCTATTTTGCACTTGGCAAAGTCCACCGGGATGGAGGTAGTATGTAATTATTTCGAACTTACATTATCTAATTAAAAATGGGGTATCATACTTATCATTCATTTGATTGGTTCAAATGATTATATAACTTTTAATTTTTATTTAAATGATTCTATTGTAACGTTTTTATTGATTTATGTGGACTAATGTATAATACCTTATGAGTAGTTGAGTACCATAGAATTTATCTAAAAATAATATTTGCCAATTCAATTGGCAACTTTCTTGAGTTTCTTCTAGAATAGGAAGTGACATTTCACGTTTGATGGGACCCCAATTCAAAAAATCTCTCTTTTTTATAAATTGCTTCAACTTTCTCATTTGTAATCCGAGCTTGATAGAAATATCAAAATTAATAATTTTTTAATATCTTTTATATGACATCAATATTATATATATATATATATATATATATATATATATATATATATATATATATATATATATATATAAGAAATTTAAGGATACAATAGAAGAGGTTCTTAAGCTTAATATTTTAAGTAGATCCAAGTTCTAAAATTAAAATTTCACGATTGTACAACACAATTTCATATTGTAAGTAGGTGACATTTTATTCATTGGCTGAAAGTAACAATTAGGGGACGTTAAGCTTTAAATAATTTTATTTATAAACAACTCAAATAGTATCAACAAAACAAATAAAGTCACGCGCATTCTGTATTGGCACTTTCAACCAATTAATAAAATGTCCCCTAATTGGACCATGAAATTGCACTATACAACAATGAGGTTTAAATTGCACTATACAACAATGAGGTTTTAATTTTAGAATTTGATACATTTAAGAAAACTTTTGAGGCTAAAAGCCTAAAACCGTAAAAACCCTCCCTTAGTTGTATCTCGTATATCTTCATAAGATGAGTTCTCGCTAGAACTCTTGATAAAAAATTTTTTGTGGATAAACTAGACTTCATGGAGAACATGTGATACAAATTTCATCAAAAAATTCCACCCGAAAGGCGGCCAAACGCCGCAGTCCGGACAGCGGTTCCGATCAGGAACTCCTGACCTGAACATGTGTGTGTGTGTGTGTGTGTGTGTGTATAAACACACACACGCGCGCGCACATACACACATGTAGGGCTGGACTCGGTTCGGGTCGGGCCCGGTTCGGGCCTTGAACCGGCCGGGCCTCGGTTCACCAAAAGGAGGGCCCGGGCCCGAACCGGCAGCTGACCGGTTCCGGGCCGGTTCCGGGCCAGACCGGGCCGGTTCCGGGCCGGTTCACCCGCCCCATTTTTTTTTTTTTTTGATTTTTTGGCTTCTCTTATTTAAACCCCTACCCCTCCCCCTCAACCCCAAACCACCCCAAACCACCTCAAATGGCCCAAAATACCTAATCCAACCCAAAACTTAAAAAAATTTCAAAAAAAAATTATTCCGGCCCGGAGCGGGCCCGAACCGGCCAGGCCGGTTCACCAAATAGAGGGCCCGGGCCCGGAACCGGTATCCACCGGGCCGGTTCGACCCGAACCGCCGGTGGACCGGGCCACCGGGCCGGTTCCGGTTCGGGCCGCCCGGCCCGAGTCCAACACTACACACATGGGAGAGTTCAAATAAAAAGAATTTTTACCTTGCAAAGTCCTAAATTTGCACTTTTTCATATTTCGCTTACACTTTTGCTTATTTGCGTTAACACTCTTTAGTGGAGAATGGGGGTGGGGGGTTTGGGGGGTGGGGGTTTTGGAGGGGGGGGGGGGAGGGGGTTCGAATTAATTCTAAAAGACTAAATAAAAATAAAAATAAAAATTGCACGACTTGGCCCGGTCCCGATTCTAACCCGGGCCGGTACCAGGACTGAATATTTATGACTTGGAGGCCGCCCCAGTCCAGCCCGAAGCCCGGCCCGGGCCCAGTCCACTCCTAGGTTGATATCATCACACCTTTTTTACAACTTACAAGTAGTTTTTTTTTTGCAAAACTATTTGAAAACCTACAAAATACTATCGGTATAAATTATAAATAATAGACACGGACCAGGTTTGGGCCACCCGGCCCGGGAACCAGCCCACTACTGTGCGAGAACAGCCCGGCCCGGTGCCTCAGGTCCGAAACCAGTCCTTGGCCCGATTTGAAAGATAAAGTGGGGCGGGCTCGGGCTGCTGAAATGGGGACCCGGCCCGGCCGGGACCAAACCCGGTTCGGGCCCCAAAATGTTTTTTTTTTTTTCATTTTTATTGGGCTTCCCAGGTTGGGCCTGATGTTTTGGACTTTGGGGGGGGGGGGGGTGAGGGGGGGTCAGGGGGTAGTTAGGAAAGAAAAAAAGTATTACAACCAGGCCCGAGGCCCGGACTGAGGCCCGGCCCGAACCGAACCGGACCCGGTGGAACCCCGGGCCGGTCCCGGGCCTTCCCCTAAACACAAAAGGCCCAACCGGGCCAGGGCCTAGGCCCCGGAACCGGTTTGGTCCATGCCTAAATAATACTCGTACCCCGTAAGAATCATAAGAGAGGATGTTCTCCCCACTAGAAACACAAGAAAAACATATACCGACAACATTAACAAAGGAAGTATACATCAAAAGAAGAGAAAGGCAACCAAAAAAGGCATAGCATCCAACCATCCATCAACACCTAAAGAAGATAAACGACATATACAAGCTGCTGTTGTGAAAATCCTCCAAATGTCAAGATTCAAGTTTCAATGAAACAACTCTTGACTGCCTGTTGCGCTTGGCCGCCTTGACAAAGACTACAGAAAGGCATGATGGAGCCCACCACGGACCGTGTACTTTCTGTTCACCCTTTAAGCAAGCCACTAACAAACAAAAAAGCCTTTAATTTAGCATCGTGAAAGAAGCATGCCAGAATGGGAGGGGTGGGGTGGGGGATACATAACAGCATTCTGTTATGAAAGAACAACAGGCTAATATTTAACTTGTGTTTATTTTGCTTGGGTTAGAATCACCGTAGTTGGGAGCCTTTGCAGCATTGGGGTGATTGATGATGATGATGAGGGTAGAATCAATGTGGCAAATAGCCACAACAGGGCTTATATTAAACTGGGGTGGGTGGGTTAGGCAATGCCTCTAAAATGGCTGAAACTGGGTCGCACTCAAGGTGACTTGAGAGGGAAATTATAGCTACCAAACAGCCATGAAAATGGCTCATGTCAGGACATAAGTCGAACCGTGACTGGGTTATGAGTTTGGCTACGCCTACAGGATGTAGGCCAAGAGACACAAAGCCCAGTCAAGCTGTATGGGCACTAAAGCAGTACAGCTAGGTTACGAGCATCAACTTTATAGGCTGATTGCCAGGCTGCCACAACTACAACTCTACAAGCACTGTTGAACCAGCTGGTCAGGTGACAAAGGGTCTGAACATCCAATCATGGCGGACCATAAGGTATTTGTGATCAGAGGATGAGATCTAAGTGGAATTAGGTATAGCCAGCCTTATAGAGAACCAAACAGATGCCTAAAAAGTAATTGATCAAGGCTAGCTAGGCAAGGACACCAACAGTGTTTATAATGTTTGACTACGCTAACAAGGGGTTTGTGACAAGTAAAATTGTGACAGTAACAAAAATATGTAGAGTGTAGACCATAGTAATGGAACCCTATAGTTATTGAAACTCTAAGCAGGCAGGGCAGGACTTCAATAAAATATTGTCTTTGACCACCATATCATGAAACTAGCTGATGATTTCTTAAGTTTTGCACAAGAAGCAATGCAACAATAGGAATTGTAAAGGGAGAGAAAGAGACCTTTAATTCTCCTAAGCTCCTTACATAATGTTATAAAATCTCCCCATTTCATGTGGCATCTTCTTATAAACCGTAGGATCTGTTCAGTGGAGAACATTGACAACCCTTCCAGAAACTCCCCATTAACACCATTTTCTTTGAAACTTTGTTTATAGTTACCGAGATTAATTTCTTCCAACCACAAACCAACATCCTGGAAACAAGAACAAGAAAAATACATATTAAATTCAAGTTGCTTTACAAAATATCCTTCAATGTAATTAATAGTACCCAGCCATAATAAACAACAACATCATCCAAGCCTTACTCCCAAAAGACTTTGGGGTCGACTAACATGAATCGATTCATGATATCAGAGCCAAAAAGAAAAGAAATATAAGAAGAATAAAAAGATAAAAAGATAAAGAGCATAAGAAAGATAAAAGATAAAAATAACATAATAACATAGAAAAATAAAGAACATACAAGATAAAAGAAAAAAAGAGAGAGAAAAGAGAAAAAAGAGATCAATCTTCCACATGAATATACGCCCTCCACTACTCAGCCATAATCAGTCTCTTTTTTCTTCCTCTTTTTATCTATCCCATTAAAATTGGTCAATAGGATAACAACCCTAAAGTTATGGGTGTAGTTTATGTTCCTTCATCAACTAACAATTCAGAACACTCAGCTGTTTTTGGTCAAACTGAAATACCCATACTGAAGATTGGTGAAAACAGACAAACCCCTCTACATCCAGTTTAAAAAGAGATAAATCAAACAGTGTGCCTTTGAAGATTGTACAAGGGCATGCACCTTTGGAAGATTCTATAGGGCCATTCACTGATTCACTTCTAAAAGAGTCACCAACTTACCAAACAATAAAAAACATATTTCTTGCAAGATATATGCATGGGAGCAAATGAACTCTCTCTACATCCAGTTTAAAGAGAACTAAAAAAAACTGTGTGCTTTTGAAAATTGAACAAAGTCATACACCTTTAGATGATTATATACAGTCATTAACTTCTAAAAGAGTCACCGAAATGCCATACAATAAAAAACTGATTTCTTGCAAGAAATATGCATGGGACTCTGCAAATGAACATCACCTCTAGTTCATTTTTGGAAATTAAAATACCATCAAATTAGATCTTAAATCAGCGACTTTCGTAGTACATTGGACCATATCCTAAACAGTAACAAGATTATAACAATATATAATTTAGCAGAAGTTCTCAAGACGTTTCTTAAAAGGTAGCACCGTAGCATAGTCAATGCTAAAGCAGGCTTGAGGCTTTTATTTATTTACTAACCTCACATGAAAAAAGGCTCATACTTAAATAAAAAATAAACAATCATCATTGCCCCAGTGTCGCAAAGAGAAACTGTTTGCGTTCGGATGTACGCGGTCTTACACTCTTACGCTTACCCATGTGCTGAAGCATAGAGAGACTGTTTCCGGATGACCCGTAACAAATAAAAATAATATAAAAAATAACCCATACTTGTAAAATTTCATAGAATTCATTTAACCAGGTGCAATCTTAGAAATAAAATCCTCAATTATCATCTTTAAAAAAACAGAACTATAATTGCATGACAAAGTTATAAACTTCATGAAAATAATCACATATATAGCTCATTAGCTCAATGGCTAATAAAGTTAGGCTAGCATTCAAAATCATCCTCTTTGAAGAAAACATATTCTAGTCACTTCTTTAACTTCTTCCTTAGCAAAACAATGCAAAGAAAAACACTCTTGTATACCACTATTACTATATCTATGAACACCATGAGTACATTCTAAACTTCGTACCGAAAGGCCAGGGCTTTCAGACACGGCTCATTGCTCAATAACCTAGAAAAAATAGACTTCATACACTCAACATCTCCAAAACATATAAAGAAAGCCCCAGAACAGATTAATAGACAGTTAAGGATCAGCTCAAAATTGTTGCAGTTTGGAGCGTCAATATAGGCTGGAATAGCTGAGAATATTTGTGATCAGTACTCAAGCTTAGCAGGTTGATTCAGAACTAGCGGAAACTGAGATCTAAATGAAGTACTACCTATAGAATGTGCAAATTAGTACCTCAACTGTCCAAATAAAGAAATTAAGTGGCTCAGGCGGTGTCTCTCTGCTCATCCCTGAAAATTCATCGACCGTCGGAAAAAGAAATTGGTAAAAGATGAAAATCATGATAACAGATCGTAGATATTCATAAAATGAAATATGCAATCACCAACCTCTAATTTTCCGAAACTTTTTATGGTTGGCAACGGGGTTTTCAATAACCAGGCAAATGATATGAAGGAAAAGGTTATTCGGGAAATAAGGGAAGGATGTACTCGGTGCTTTTCTTTCCTATCAACACCGTATTCTGCGTAGTCGGTAAATCCGGTAGTGGCTCGCAGTCAGCCATGTTTGGAACACCCACGCCCATTTGGGGAAAATGAAAATTAATAATTAAAAGAAAGAAGGATTTTTTACCCATTATTGTACCCACTTTTGTACCCACCATGTCTTTATAGACATATTTTTGTCTATGACCGGGATTCACAGACAAAAAAAAACTCCTCACAGACATGGTGGGTACAAAAATGGGTACAATAGTGGGTACAAACAGATTTTTCCTTATTAAAATCCTCATCTCATCTTCATTTGTTAGTCTTGACTGGCTGATGATAGGTTATTCTAGGTTTTTTCATTTTGTTTGTAAATCATTCAATTATAAATCTCCTTTTTACAAATCTTCTTGAAACGGTCGCACATATGATTTTTATTTTTTCTTCATAAAATTTTTATTTCTTTCTTATGTAATACTATTGGTTGTAGTCTCTTTTTATAATTTTTGTTTCCAAACTACTTGTATATATTTTTTTAGAATTTTTTATGAAGGAGAAAAATATATGGGACATTCCTTAAATTGTATTTAATGAAACTTTAATGGTAAGAATATGAGTATAATTGCAAAATTTCATAAATAGGATTAGCTTTCCAATTCATAATTACAATTCACCTTATAATTCACATTATCTTTAACAATAGTCTTTAACAATTCACCTTATCTTTTCTTAAAAATATATTAGTGGTGGAATAAAGTTAAGAAAAGGAAAAATGAAATAAATAAGTGTAAGTAAAGAAAGTAAAGGAAAAAGTTAATACAGTGAGAAAAAGATCTTTTATAAGGAAACTAATCTGAAAAAAATATAAAAATAAAAATGAACTAATAAATGGGAAGAAGAAAAAGAAGGAAAAATGGAATACATAAACACTGAAAAAAATGGAAAAGAAATAAAAATAAGAAGAAGAAGAAGACAAAAAGGGGAGTAAAAGAGTTAAGACGAAAAAAATATTAAAGGAAAAGTTTTAGGGAGAAAAAAGAAAAATGATATGTGGGACCGCTTGAAGAAGGTTTGTGAAAAGTGGGATTGATGGTTGAATGAATTGCAAAGAAAATGAAAAGACCTACATTAGCAGGTCATCAACCAGTCACGGACCAACGAATGAAGATGAAGTGCAAAGGTTGGATTATTCCTGAATTACGATCATGTGAATTGTTAAAGACCGCTAAAAGGTTGGATTATTAGTTTCCATTTTCCCTATTTCATATGTGCGGATTACATTTATACATTCATTTGAGTTATATTTGATAATACATGAAGTTACGTCTACTTATGCGCGAGTTACATCTTTTTATGCACGAGATACATCTAATTATGCACGAGTTACATCTAATTATTTTTTATTTTTTACTTACCTTTATCTTTAACTAATTAAATTACAACTGACTTAACGTATTTCTTTACCAATTTATTACAAAATTTTATTAATCCACATAAAATAAGTAAATTGTTTTTCATTTTTTAATCCCTAAATACAATACTTGTTGTTCCCATCTAGGCATTTAGGTGTGTTTTTTAGTTTTTTCATCAACACTTGTTCAACGAAATCTCATATGGCTAGTTTTTATTGTTGTTGTGTGTAATCTCTTTTTTTGAGGGGAAAAGAAGATTTTATTCATATAAATAAAAAGTACAATGCAACAAGAAAAGTAAAAGTAAAAAAGTACATTGATCAAAAGAAAGAGTAAAAACCATAAAACTAGTCCAGGAAATCTCTGGACTGCGATCTAGTTCTCTTGTTGTGCCTTCTTTTATTTTTCTGAGATTTTCTGTTAAGTTTGAGTTGCGTATTTAGATTGTCTGTTGGCAGACAATTTTCGTAAGTGACGAACTTTGATCTATGGCAAATTGATCTGTTGAATTTGGAGTTTCCAATTTCTTCTTGTTTTGATATAGGATGATGATGATCACTTTCGGTTGCATGTCCTAGAAAATCATCTGAGAAGAAAAAGTCATCGGAGTAGTGATCAAAGTTGTCCGAGGCATCAGAGTAAGCCTGAATAATTGGAATTTGAAGAGAAAGGATTGAGGTTTGGAGCGAGGTTATAGACACAAACGCTCAGCAACACATCGAGTTGGTAACCAGATTCTCAGATCTATTTGGGAGCCGCCTTTTTGTGACAATTACAATCAGAAGCGATTCGGGTTGGAATCTAACTTATACATTATTATTTTACAGTCCTACTATAATACATTATTCCTAGACATATATGACAATCAAATGATCAATATCCACATTCTATAAGTTTGTGAGGTGTACTCTTCTAATTGAAATCTGGTAATCTAAAACTCATATAGAACTAAATAAATGAAGTTTATTTTAAGAAAGATTATCTGGTTTTATAGTTTTAGTGCATGTGTTTAACATACTAGCTATGAGTGGATCACCCCTCTTTCTACAGTTAAAAAATCTTAAATGTATACATAAATTTAAGGCTTAAATATGGTTTTAGTCCCTGCAAACATGACACACTTTGTTTTAGGTCCCTGCAAAATATTTTTGTTTTGTTTTTAATCCTTGTGAAATGCTCTATTTTGTTTTTAGTCCATCTCCTACCCCAAAATCACTCAATTTGGGAAAAACGTTATTACCGATTGCATAAATCTACTAAAAAAAATTAAATTTATCCTTTGATAATTTTTTTGAGACTAATATGAGAGTTAAAGTAATGTAAAATTAATTATTCACATGTTTCAAATATGTATTAAAAACCTTCTAAATGTTAAAATTAAATATTTTTTGAATAATATGACGAAGAATTAGATGAAGTCTTTTAGTCGGAGTAGTTTTTTGTCAAATGAAACTTGTTATCATCGGTGATGCACTAAAAAGAAAACCACCATAAATTCCATGGATGAAAAACAAAAAAAAATTGCAGGGATCTAAATCAAAATGTGCTATATTTGCAGGGATTTAAAACATACTCCCCCCGTCCCATTATGATTGTCCCATTTTACCTTTTCGATCCGTCCCACCAAGATTGTCACATACCTTATTTGGTAAAACTTGTGTGGTTCTAAATCATTCTTACTTTATTCTTACTTTATCAATTTAATATCAACCACATAAAACCACTTTTATTAATAACCATATGCCACTTTCTCTTGTCCCAAACTTAGGGGGACGGAGGTACTATTTATACACAAATTTAAAATGTTGATCTTATTTCTCTTAACATCAAAGTCAAGTTTCTAATTATCAACTTTTAATCTTATTTTTCTTAATAACAAAGTCAAGTTTCCAATTATCAACTTTCAAAACAACTTTTTTATCCAACATTAAAGAAGTGGATATTAAATTCAAATACCAGATTCAAAACAACTGTTCATTACATTTATCATTGTTAATAATCCATGAGAAATCTGGAGGGGTTTAAATTAAATTTTAGTTCTACGCTATAATTTTAGACCGATACTCTCTAGTTTCCAGACTATATGTTAGGTCCCCTAGATTTTGATGATTAAAATGTAATAGTTTTGATGATGTCACCCCTCTTTATTATTCATGTATTAGACTAGTCTCTTGTTTATGTTCTACTTTGTTTATTGTAATATGCTCCAATATTAGTGATAAAATCCTCATAAAAAGCAAAGAGTACTAAAAAGAGAAGAAACGTAACATAAAATGAAAAGAAAAGAATAAAAAAGAAAAGGTACGCAAAAGAGTTAACTTGTATTCATTGAAGGGAGCTAATTGGAAAAACACAAATTTCAGCAGCCAGCTGAAAACTTGGCAGCCGGCTGAAAACTTGGCAGCCAGCTGAAATCTTGTTTTCCAGTTAACCCATCTGAAATCAACTCACTCTTCTCTTAGCCATGATATATCTTGTGTCATCTTTTACATTCTGCTCCTAACATAAATTCAGTTCTCACTCACCTTCACAACTTCACAGTAAAATAGTTTGCTCACTAAACTGTCGAGTGAACCTTCCAGTTCACTGTGAGTCAACTCCTTATTTTCTGATCATCAAAGTGATCTTTTTTTATAGGTCTAAATTCTTCATACTTATGTGTTAAGACTAGTTCTAAAGCCTATCAATATGTTAGAGTATAGCTCATTGCTATACCTTAACTAATTGAAGCAGAACCTTAATTTCGGCAGCCAGCTCCTAAAGGTTTTGGCAGTCAGCTCCAAACTGTTTGGCTGCCAGCTCCTTCAGATTTCAGCAGTCTGCTCCTTGAGTCATCTATTTCTGGCAAACACATTTGTAACATGTTTTAGCCATCTCTTCACAACTAAAAGGGTCATAACCTTTGTTTACATAAAGTGTCACACTCTTGAGGTAAAGACTTGCGCTGTATGTTTCAATATCTCCCAAAAGATATTGAAACACATTCTGTTAGAGAAAAATGGGCTGAAAAACAAAAAGATTTAAAAGCTATTCACCTCCCTCTAGACTTTTACCTCACTTGGGACTCAATTGGTATCAAGGCAACCATCACTATATAAGCATCATTCTTATATACTCCCTCCGTACATGAAATAACTTCCCAGTTTTCTTATTTGGTTGTCCCTAATTTAAATTCCCTTTTCCTTAAATGAAAAATATCTACATCAAAACAATGCAAAGTAGTGCAAAACAATGCAAACAGTGTCAAACCATGTCAAACAGTGTCACAACAGTAATTTACTCCCTGTTAAGTTTTACTTCTTAATATGTGTGTAAGTCAAAATAGGAAGTTGTTTCGGGGACGTGGGGAGTATATCACAGTAATCATATTCTATAACGTTGTGTGTTAGTGTACTAATTTAAATTTGGAAATTTTAAATCTAGGAGACGAGTTCATGAACCATATCATATGGTGAGAATAATAGATTTGGACATTAGATTAAATAGGTGATGAACATACTATGACCCATTATTGGAAAGGGCAGAAGACGATTGTGTATCAATTTGAGAACTAGGAAGTTGTTCTCTTTCACCTGATCTGAATGTTTCTGATTTGAATTTTTTAAGTTGATATGAATTTTTCTGATTTGATCTTATCTGAATCTTTCTGATCTTTTCTGATATGATCTGAATCCTTCTGATCTGATTTGAATCTTTCTGATCTGATTTGAATATGTCTATAATTATAAATATTATAATTACAATTTTAATTAAAAATATAATTTAAATAAAATTATAATCATAATTATAAAAAAATGTAATAATAATTAAAATTAAATTTAAAATTATAATAAGGATACCTATTACACTAATTAAAACTATAGATACAATTATAATTGTAATTATATTTTTATTTATAATTACTTATATAATTATAATTTTAAGTATAATTATTATATTTATTTCTATATTTGTAATTTTAATTATAAATAGAATTTTAATTACTCAGCATAATAATAATAAATAAAATAATTAATAATAATATTAATAATAATTATTAGTACAATAATAATAATATAATAATAATATTAGTATCATTATAATATTATTGTTTATATTATTATCATTAAATTGTTATTATTATAATATTATTATTAATTATAATGTAATTATTATTATAATAATAATTATTATAATTAATGTAATAATAAAAGTGATAAATTATGTTTGAACTTTTATGAACTGATCTGAATCTTTCTGATCTGAATAAAATAAGAATAAGCAATAAGTAATAAGAATAAGACGAAGATAGGCCTGTCAATGGGTCGGGTCTAGACCCGGACCCGATCCGAATCCGGGTCTTTATTTGAGGGTATGGGTCTGAATTTAGAACCGTTTTCCGGATCCGGATCCGAACCGTTACATAATAAAGAAAATGGGCCGGATGCGGATTTTTAAGTTCCGACCCGTTTTGGTCCTCACCCGTGATGACATAATTATAGTTATAATTTTTTACATATGCACACACAATATACATGGAAATATTTAAACATAAAAAAAGGAAAATAATCAAATGTAAAACATGTTTTGATATTTGTAGGTTTATTTTATGGTTGGCCCACTATAATGAGATTTTCGTTAATGAGTTAGTGCTAACTCTATGTTCTCTATGAGTTCACTAATATAATATAACATACTTTGGTTATTGTATAGTTCATACGGAGTAATGGATAGAACAGCATTTTGCTTATTTATATAGGAAAAATTGACAAGAATGATCACACCTTTCACTGGTTTTCTCATAATAATCCCACCTTTACATAATCTCAAAATAATCCAACTTTTGCACCCCATCTTCTAACATTGGACCCTGACCATGTTTTTTTATCTTTCTTTGAAAATCTTATATAAATAATCTCACATTTATAAAGATATAATAAAAAAGTGAAAGGTGAGATTATTTATATGATTTTCAAAGAAAGCGTAAAAAACATGATCAGAGTCCAATGAAAGAAGATGTGGTGCAAAGTTGGGATTATTTTGGGATTATGTAAAGGTGAGATTATTATGAGAAACCAGCGAAAGGTGAAATTATTCTTGTCAATTTTTCCATTTATATATGATCTCATCCAACATGATCATTTTTTTGTTATATACTCCGTATTATATTCGTTTGCATATGTCATTTAATTTTTTCGGGTATACCCGGCCCGGATTCAAGACCCGCCGGATCCAAATCTGGAACATATGTTTAGGACCCGAAGGGTAAATGGGTCCAGATCTGGACCAAAAAAATTCAACGGATATGGATATGAAATTCATAGTTCCGACCCGTATCCGACCCGTTGACAGGCCTAGACGAGGAGAACAACTTCTAAGTGATTGGCCAACACTTATCGATTTTAGGCTGGGCTAGAATATAGATGTGACAATTTAAGTAGAAATTAATTTCAATTGAAACAACTCTACTTTATCGTACTTAGGGGTGGACTCGGGCCGGGCCAACCGGCCCGGAACCGGACCGGCCCGCTACTGTGCGGGCCCGGACCGGCCCGGTCAACCGGTTGGTGCACCGGTTCGGGCCACCCGGCCCGGTGGGATGGCGGTCCGGGCTCGGGCCCTGATTTTGGTGAACCGGCCCGGCCGGTTCGGGCCCGGTCCGGGCCGGATTTTAATTTTTTTTTTTTTTGAAATTTTTTTAAGTTTTGGGTTGGATTAGGTATTTTGGGCCATTTGAGGTGGTTTGGGGTGGTTTGGGGTTGAGGGGGAGGGGTAGGGGGTTAAAAAGGAGAATTAAAAAAAAAAAAAAAAACAGACCGGTTGGCCCGGCCCGGTTTGGCCCGGAACCGAAACCGGAACCGCCCACCGGCGGTTCGGGCCCGGGCCCTAGATTTCTGGCCCGAGGCCCGGCCGGGCCCAGGCCCGAACCGGCCCCGAACCGGCCCGAGTCCACCCCTAATCGTACTAAAATAGATAACTACATAAAAAATCAAGGAACCAGGATAAAAAAGGGTACAAGATACCTGGAAGTCTGGAACCAAACCAGGACCCTAAATATAGGGATGGACTCGGTTCGCGCCACCCAGCCCGGTACTGTTTAGAACCAACCCGGGACACCAGTTCCGGGCCTGGGTCAAGCAAAAGGGGAACCGGCCCGGCCGGGCCCGGTTCGGGGCTTTTTATTTTATTTTTTTGGTTTTTTTGGGTTTGGGCTGGGTTTAGTTGTGATGGGCTGGGTGTTTCCGAGGGGTTTGGGGGGTGGGGGGGATATGGGAGGTGCGGGATGAAATAAATAAGAAATCAAAAACAACAACAAAAATTGAACCGGCCCGGGCCGGTTCCGATTCCCCTTTCCCAAGAAAGGCCCAGGCCCGAACCGGAACCGGCCTGGGTCCACCCCTACCTGAATACCCACGCCGGGTCCAATTCTCAATAATATATAATATATTCCAAGGACCGGCCGGACCGGAACCCGCACCAAATCTATGCTCAGTCCAGAACCATTAAAACAGTTCTTTATCCGGTCCTAGTCTAGCACTCTAGTGGCAGAACTGCATCCATCCCTAATAATAGAGTGGGGCAAGGATAAATAACAGAGAATTAAACGAGGAAATGGGAAGTTTAAGGAAAGTAATTTCAGTGAAAAGTGGAATGTGTAACTGTAACTTGTATGAGGTTGATCTCATCACACCATTGTTACAAGGAGAGTTTGAAAACCTACAATATGTATAAATTATACATAATACTCCGTAAGAATCATTAAGAGAGGAAGTTCTCCCCACTAGAATCACAATACAAACAAATACCGGCAGCTTTAACAAAGGAAGTATACATCAAAAGAAGAGAAAGGCAACTAAAAAGGCATAGCATCCAACCATCCATCAACACCAAAAGAACATAAAAGATGTACACAAGCGGCTGTTATGAAAATCCTCCAAATGTCAAGATTCAAGTTTCAATGAAACAACTCTTGACTGCCTGTTACGCTTGGCCGCCTTGACAAAGACTACAGAGATGCATGATGGAGCCCACCACGGACTGTGGACTTTCTGTTCACCCTTTAAGCAAGCCACTGACAAAAATAGTCTTTATTAAGCATCGTCAAAGAAGCACGTCAGGATTGGGGGTGGGTGGGAGGGGTACATAACAGCATTCTTCTATGAAAGAACAATCGGGCTAATCTTCTAACTTGTGTTTGTTTTACTTGGGTTTGAATCAATGTGGCAAATAGCCACAACAGGGCTTAGATTAAACTGGGGTCGGTGGGGTTAGGCAAGCGGCCATGAAAATGGCTCATGTCAGGACATAAGTCGAACCACGACTGGGTTATAGGATGCAGGCCAAGGGACACAAAGCCTATTCAAGCTGGATGGACACTAAGGCAGTACAGCTAGTTACGAGCATCAATTTTATAGGCTGATTGCCAGGCTGCCAGCTGGTCAGGTGACAACTGGTCTGAACATCCAACCATGCCAGTCCAGTAGGTATTCACCATTAGAGGATGGGGTCTAAGTGGGATTAGGTAAAGCCAAAGAGAGAACCAAACAGATGCCTAAAAAGTAATTGATCAAGGCTAGCTAGGCAAGGATTTTACAAGAAATGCTAGAACCCCAACAGTGTTTCTAATTTTCAACTATGCTAACAAGGGGTGTGTAGTTGTGTACGAGTAAAATTGCACCAGTAACAGAAAACATGTAGAGTGTAGACCATTACAATGGAACCCTAAATTTATTGCAACTCTAAGCAGGCAGGGCAGGACTTCAATAAAATGTTATCTTTGACCACCATATCAAGAAACTAGCTGATGATTTCTTAAGTTTTGCACAAGCAGCAATGCAACAATAGGAATTGTTAATGGGGAGAAAGAGACCTTTAATTCTCCTAAGCTCCTTGCATAATGTTATGAAATCTCCCCATTTCATGTGGCATCTTCTTATGAACCGTAGGATCTGTTCAGTTGAGAACATTGACAACCCTTCCAGGTACTCCCCATTAACACCATTTTCTTTGAAACTTTGCCTATAGTTACCAAGATTAATTTCTTCCAACCACAGACCAACATCCTGGCAACAAGAACAAGAAAAATACATAATAAGTTCAAGTTGCTCTGCTAAATATCATTCAGTGCAATTAACAGTACTCAGCCATAATAAGTTTTTTTCCTTCTTTTTTGTCTATCCCATTAACATTGGTCAATAGGATAACCAACCCTAAACATTATGGGTGTAGTTTGTGTTTCTTCATTAACTAACAATTCAGAACACTCGGCTGTTTTTGGTCAACTAGAATACCAATACTGAAATTTGGCGAAAACAGATAAACCCCTCTAGTCCAGCTTATAGAGAGGTAACTAAAACAGTGCGCTTTTGAAGATTGTACGAGGTCATACACCTTTAGAAGATTCTATAGGGTCATTCACTTCTAAAAGAGTCACCAACTTACCAAACAATAAAAAGCATATTTCTTGCAAGAAATATGCATGGGAGCAAATGAACTTTCCCTCTACATCCTGTTTAAAGAGAAGTAAAAAGAGTGTTCTTTTGAAGATTGAATAAGGTCATACACCTTTAGAAGATTCTATATGGTCATTAACTTCTAAAAGAGTCACCAAAATGCCATACAATAAAAATCTGATTTCTTGCAAGAAATATGCATGGGAATCTGCAAATGAACTTCACCTCTAGTTCATTATTGGAAATTATAAATGCCATAAAATTAGATCTTAAATCAGCGACTTTCGTTATACACTAGACCATACCCAAACAGTCATAAGATTTCAACACTATGTAAGTTAGCAGAAGTTCTCAAAACGTTACTTAAAAGGCAGCACCGTAGAATAGCCAATGATAAAGCAGGTTTGAGGCTTTTATTTATTTATTTATTTATTTATTTATTTATTTAATCTCACATGAAAAAAGGCTCATACATAAAAAAAAATTAACCCATACTTGTAAAATTTCATACAATTCATTTAACCAGGTGGAATCTTAGAAATAAGATCCTCAATTTCCACCCTTAAAAAATACCAAGTATGTCGCCATGTAGCTCATAAACAGAACAATAATTGCATGACAAAGTTATAAACTTCATGAAAATAATCAAATATATAGCTCTTTAATAATAAAGAGCCACAAACTAAGTTTATTACAGTTCATACTTTCACAACCCTAGCAGTTAGGCTAGCATTCAATATCTTCCTCTTTGAAGAAAGCATATTCTAGTCAGTTCTTTAACTTCTTCCTGAGGAAAACAATGCAAAGGAAAACACTCTCGTATACCACTATTACTTTATCTATGAACACAAAGAGTACATTCTAAACTTTGTACCGAAAGGGCAGGGCTTTCAGACAGGCGCTCATTGCTCAATACAACAACATCCAAGCCTTATTTCCAATAGATTTTGGGGCCGGCTAACATGAATCGATCCATTATATCAGAGCAAAAAAGAGAAGGTAGATAAAAAAGAAAATAATAAAAAAGTAAAGTAAGATAAAATGGATAAAGTAAAGACAAATAAAAGATAAAAAACATAAGAACATAGGAGAAAGATAAAAGATAAAACGATAAAAAAAGCATAAGAAATATAGAAAAAATAGACTTTATACACTCCACATCTCCAAAACATATATAGAAATCCTCAGAACAGATTAATAAACAGTAAGGATCAGCTCAAAATTGCTGCAGTTTGGAGCGTCTATATTGTCTGGAATGTCTGAGAATACTTGTGATCAGTACTCAAGCTTAGCAGGTTGATTCAGAACTAGAGGAAGTCGAGATCTAAATGAAGTAGTACCAAGAGAATGAGGAAATTAGTACCTCAACTGTCCAAATGAAGAAATTAAGTGGCTCAGGCGGTGTCTCTCTGCTCATACCTGAAAATTCATCGACCATCGGAAAAGGAAATTGGTAAAAGATGAAAATCGTGATAATAGATCGTAGAAATTGATAAAATGAAATATGCAATCACCAACCTCTAATTTGCCGAAAGTTTTTATGGTTAGCACTAGGGTTTTCAATAACCAGGCAAATGATGTGCGGGAAAAGGTGATTCGGGAAAAAGGGAAGGACGTACTCGGTGCTTTTCTCTCCTATCAACACCACTGCCTAACTGCAGGTGAGTTTCATTCCCACGCGACTACCTTCAGATTCAGAGGAGTAAAGGGCCCACTATGCGTCTGCCATGTTTTTGAACAACCCTCACCCATTTTGGAATATACTTTTGTGTTGTGTGAAATGGATCTTCTAAACTCTGGTTTGGTGACTTTCTTTTTGAGATAATGGGATTTATTGATATTTTTTCAATCTAATTTTTGATTTTACACGCTGAATTGTATAACAACAAGAAAAAGTAAGGTTGAATTTGCTTTTCTTACTCTATTGACTGAAATTATTATAAATGACTATTTTAGCTATTTTCTTACAGTAGTCTCACTTTTTCGTTATTCAATAATAATCCAATCTTTGCACCCCATCTTGATTCGTTGGTCCCTGACCGGTTAATGACATGCTATTCCAAGTTATTTTCTTATCTTTACAAAATATTATCTTTGTGAAAGGTGAGATTTATGGTATAATGGTTTACAAAGATAAGAAAATAACTTGGAATAGCAGGTCATCAACCGGTCAGGGACCAGTGAATAAAAATGAGGTGCAAAGGTTGAATTATTCATGAATAACGAAAAGGTGGGACTATTGTAAGAATGCCATTAAAAGGTTGGATTATTAGTTTCTATTTTCCCTAATTTTTTCATTATTTTATTAGTAAAATATATTTTAAATATAATTTTTTTTCATAAATCAGCAGAATCAGACAATACACGTATTTCATCCATAACTTCATAAATTTTCAGCAGAATCAGCCGATTCAGCCGATTTTAGTGTTATCACAAATGAGCTCCGAATGTATCATAAAATTATGATTTTTATTTTATTTTTTGTTCAAATACGTTTTTTTCAGAATATAGGCAGACTTATATTGATATCTCAACTACACACAAATAATACATTATACAAACACCCCTAACTAGGTCAATAACCCAAGGATTAGATATAGAATTACTTATGCAGCAATTCGTGCAGCTATCTCTAACTACTGAATAGACAAATAGTCTATGAAAATCAAGAAGAGAGACTTGTCTCTCATAACAACAATAAAAATCCCAAGAATGTCATTAATACAATCAAAACAAAACCAATGTAAAAAGTCTAAAGAAATAAAAAAAAAAACTCAAAATAAAAATAGAACAATCAATCGCAGGTGGCCCAATTCAACCTTGAAGCGTCATCTTCCAAACCCTAGCCACACAGCCGCTCCAAGGCGACAGTTTATGAGAGGGTCAGACCGTCAAAACATCATCTTTCTTGTTCATCTCGTGTTCTAGCCTTGAGTTTAATAACTTCAAATCCGTAGTCCAAGAGTAGATCCTCAAATTCACCAAGCCCCTGTAGTTCCAACTCACAATACTCATCTTCGATCCCCTACTTTGTCGATGATGGACAATCACGACCACCAAACACCACCTAGGCAAAGCTAGGACATCGACCGCAGTTCATAGAATCTAAAATATTATTACCGACAACCAAAATGAAGGGCTAGGAGTTCTAGAGCAAGAATGGTGGGCAGCCGGAGGAGATGCATGAGACTTCTCCTTCATCATGTAAATTGACTATAAGCATTAACAACAGAGTATGAATCAATTTTCCCAAGAGTCATCCCTAGATTGAGCGTGTGACTCAACTGTTAGCCTACAAGTACACCATCCTGCATGTATTTTCATAATAAATGAAAAAACAAAACGAAAAATAAAATGAAAAATGAAACATTTGTTAGATGAAACTTAATTAAATTGTTACTTGAAATGAATTTTTTTTAAGACGAGGTGCAGTACAGTTCATGGTATCCACATGGGCTACCTCGAAAGCGGACATCAAATCCTCGGTAAGTATTTCACCTCTTGGAACAAAGTTATGTTGCATGTCTTTTACCAAATGCTCTTGCAACTGTTTTAGGTCAGCATCACTCAAAGGACCAAATTCTCAACTCAACTTGTTTCCTCATTAAGATAAAGATGTAACTATCTTTATTTTTTTTGCTCGTTAAAATTCAGTATATAAGTTGACTGATGTTCAATGCTTCCTTACAAATAACACTTATTTTCTTTTAGTAAAATAATTTAATAAGAAATTTATAATGTGATAAAAACCTCTTATGTAATTACTTTTTATCAAAATGTTATTTTGACTGCAAGTTTGTCCTTTGTTTAATTGATTTGTGTTAAGAGAAGATTAGTCTTATTTCGGTTTAGCCATTTCCTGGAAATCCGAATGGGAGCTGGCTGAAACTTTTCATATGGATGCTCCTACTATGTTTTTCAGATGATTGCCGAATCTATGAAGGGCTTCAGTTGACTCTTTTCATACCTTTTCTTTTTTTATTGTTTCTTTTTGTTTTTGGTACATTCTTCTCTTTTAGTACTCTTTGCTTTTTATGAGTACTTAATCACTAATGATAGCACATTACAATAAACATAAGTAGAACAAGTACATTAGATACTAGTCTAATACAAGGATAATAAAAAGGGGTGGCATCATCAAAACAATATATTAATCATCAAAATCTAGGGGACCTAACAGTTGTGTCAGACTTTGTTAAATCTACCTCTGAACCAGTGGCAGACCTAATATTTATATTTTGGGTGTTCAGAATTACACATTTTCTCTTTAAAATACTAATAAATAAATTATTATTCTAATATATATATAGAGTAGTCTTCCGGTCAGGTATACCTGACCGGAGCCCCGTCCGGCCTCCTCCATTTGGGGGTCTTCCCGGTGGTATTTTTTGCTCAAATTTT